CGAAGACTGAATAATGAGATTTCCCCAGAGGGAGGATTGCACAAGTGTGTGTGTGTGTGTGTGTATGTGTGTGCGTGTGTCAGTCTTTCCATGTGAGCAGTGGTCAATACTCGCATACTAGGGACGAAGAGAAGCAATGCCGTGAGATGTAGGAATCGCGCAAAAGGCCCCAAAAGCGACAGGGCCCCCCCCCAAAAGCGATACACCTCAATCGAAGACGGAACCATGACTCTGCTTGGGCTAAACCCCCAAACGCGATACTTTGCGTGTATCCTACGCAACAACTCCCAAAAGCGGTAGGACCCCCCCAAGTCGTTCATGGCCTCGGATTATACAAGGAGTTTCAGCCAACGCTCATGTGTGCAAGTCATGCTGATTATGATTGCATTTGCCAGCCTTTTTTGTCAGCAATAGTGGAGGGAAGACGACTGAAGTGGGCTTAGTAAGTGTGTGGGTTAAGAATTTGGATTGAATATCTCGACTCAGGTATTTGGGGTTTCAGGGTCAGATGTCGTGGCCTCGGCGTGGACAACCAATGGCTAATCACAAGTGATCGTCCCCGGTGTGAGGCATGGCGTTGTTCGGCTTTGTCACGTTCCGTGATTCCTCGAATGTCAAAAATTCCACTCGTGATTTTTGTGTTGACACTGCCTGTGGAGCAGATGGTCATTTTAGTCGGCTCGCCGTTCTTGTAATTGCTTTTGCGCGCGTGGATCTTATACCGTCCAGCACAGGCCGAAGGTCACACTTGTGGGGCTTGTTAAGGTCGCTGTTGGATGCGTAGGTCTTCTTCGCTCCGTCTCCTTTCCTCTGCCCTTGTGCCCACCCCTTATCCGTACCCTTGCAGTTACCATTACCTTACCCTTAACGGGCCTCTTCTTGCCCCCGCGACCTCCGGATAGCAGGCTTGAAGGAAGACTCCCTGCTTGGGAAAGGTGTCATGCAGCAGTCCAGCAGGTCGAAGCTTCTGCCAAGCGCAGGGCGTATGCTTCGCAGTTGTGATGGAGACCAGCGGAGCATGGGAGACCGACGCTTCCAAGATGATCCGTGATGTTGCCAAGCTGCCGCACGTGAGGGCGAGGACCCAGCGCCAACCTGTTGCAGGAGCTTAGTCTCGTGGTGCACACCTTCTGTGCCAGTGCGGTGCAACTGGCCGCGCGTTCGACGCCAGGGGCAACACGGAGGGCAGCGACGGCCTGACTGGTTTTGGTGTGAGGGTGGGCGGTGCCCTACAGTGATAGCCAGGACGCTTGGGACTCCACATATGCTGAGTCTGATGAGAGTGGCCCTGGATTTTTTTGCGGCCGTCGTGCCCGCATGCTCGGCAAACCCTGTGCCCACAGTGATGCTTGCAGCTCATCGAGCGTTGAAGCAGGCGCGGGAGAGGAACACTGCCGCACTGCCAGCAGCAGTTTCTTTTTAGATCACGAATGAAGCAGGGATGCCTCGGGGCTCACTTGCTAGCGTCTCACAAGAGGTTTCGGCAACAGGAATCTGCGCAGAACCTTGAAGGGATTTTGCCAAGTCTGCGATACCTCACCTCTACGCACTTCTACGATCACGTAACTACGCGAAGACAGCCAGCGTACGTGGGGGGGGGGGTTAGGCTGGTGGAGGGGTGGTCGCTTGGAGCAGGGGGAGAAAGATGCCTGGGGTTGGCGGATCTGCGTAGGTTGCGTGAGCGAGCAGAACCTTTTCAGTTCCTTTCTTAAGAAGGTGTGTGGTGTAGCAATTCTGGGTTGGACTCGGAACATTCACAAAGATCACTTGAAGACGCCATCCGGTCAATGTGGTGCTGGGATCAGTTGTGTGGTCGTGTGTTACAGAGATCTCTCCAACAATCGGCTTCTAGTTTTGTGCTCCCACATGGCCTCTTTTACTACCACTTCCGTGTCAAAATGTCCGTTTTAATTGTTTGTTTACATGCGCCAGACCGCAGAGGTCCAGCTGGCGCGGCTGCAGGCAACATGATGGCTTTACTGTGCTTCTCAATTGATTCTCGTAGATGTTGGAAAAGTTCTTGAAGAGGGCCGCATGTCAGGTGGACTGTGATGGGCTGAGACGCCGCGCAGAGATCCTTGGAGGATTGCGTGAGGAGGTTTTGCAGGCGCCCCATTTGATTAATGTGGTTACTTCTTCTGAAGCCGACCGTTCCTTGGACTCGCTAAGCCCCCCATTCTGGGCTGCTCCAGCCTGCATCAGCCTGTCTCTGAATCAGGCCGTGCAAGAGAAAGTGGCTGCCCAGCTGCAAGATGCTGCAAAGGTGCTGCATGTTGGTAAGGTAGTAATTCAATTGTAGACGACTCAAAGCTTGCTTGCAACTGCATTCTGTTGCACTTCTGAAAAACCTGAGCACCAGAGGATGCTGTTGCACCGCTGTCCGGTCGTGCAGAGCTACGGCCAGAGCGAATGCCTGCAGCAGCTGAGCGCCTTGGCATGCCTTGGCCATACAGGAAGCTGAGATCCATACAGGAAGTGCAGAGCAGAGGAGCAGAGGCTAAGGCGAATTAAAGGGATAGGAACGGATGTGCCTGGCAGCTCCCAATAGCTTTCAGGTGTACGTTGGCAAGACGAATTGATGACATGGAGGCACGCACGGCGGCTCAGCGGGTCAAGATCGAGGCCCACGAGGCACGGAAAATGATTTCGCAGGAAGAATTCGAAGTTGCTGAGCTCTGAGTCTGTGCGGATGAATCTAAGTGTTGTGGTTCTTCTAGTCTGCACAGCTTCATATTGCTTCACAGCAGTCCTGAAGCAGTCTTGCAGCAGGTGAGGTTTGGCACGTTTTCCGAACGATTAGAGGCCCGAATTTGATTGCAACGCCAACAAATTCGTGACTAGTCTGCTGTTTTGGTGAGGCCGCGTGCCAGGAGGCCGTGGCTCAAGCCCGTGTGGTGGCACACCAGCGCCGGGAGGAGATCCTCATGGAGGCAGCTTCAGCTCAAGCGGAGGGTTATTGTTTTTGGATTTTTTTCGTTGGAATGTTGCAGAGGTGGACTGCCAGCTGCGAGTACTGCGACAGCGTATGGACTCAATCACAGAGCTGAGCGATGAGTTGATGTTCCAGCAGGAGCCAAGCTGGGAAAAGCACCATTAACATATCATCGTTCCTGCATGCTACGTGCAGGGGCTGTTGCGGCAATTGGTCTCGGATCTAGTTTCCGTTTTCCCACGCATTGTGGTTTCCGTGGCACGGTTTCCTGTTGTTGCGCGTGGGAATGGAATTGAATGGAAATGGACGGGCACCCCCTCAGTTTGAACTGGCCTGCAGGCAACCGGTCAATGTGGTGCTCGTGCGAGCTCTGCAGGCACACACGCATGCTGCAGCTGACACGTTGGGAGTGTCATTTTTGTCATTCTGCGAAAAGACCGGAGAGAGCAGATCTGGGACTGGTGGTTTCCTTTGTCTCCCACATGTCTCCCATGTATCCCATATCTCTTCCCTTGTGGAAAGGGCAGAATGTGGATGTTGTGAAGCCGATCTGGGCTGGACTCACGTCCTTCTGGGAAAAACAGCAGGCATCGTTGTCCAAAAGATGACAAGCAGTGCCCCTCAATTGCTGTTTGCGGTCAGTCAAGGTTGGTACTAGTTTTTGCAGAATTCACCGGAGAACTTCAGAGCGAGGATCTCCAACTTGTCAACATTTGAAAATGCATGCTTTTGGGGACAACTTAAGGCTGTTGTGCTGCTCTGTCTACTCAACTTTTCCTAGGTGGCTCTGCCTGATGGAGTGTGTTCGCATGCACAGGTGTTCGCAAGGAGTTTGATGCATCCGAAGTGAGAGGGAAGTTGCCAAGCTTGGCAGAAGAAGCCAGCCGGTAATGCCCCCCGGTACACAAAGCCTGTACTGTACTATAGGATCGATTGTGGCATATGGAGGTCAAAGTGCCTTCAGCACGTTGATCTGTCACGCGGAACGCATGTCTTGTGTAATGAGTGTCAAACGTGTGGGCTTGAGGGGTGTCGTGGCTGAGAATCTCAGATGAATTTCTGACGATGCTGCGAGAATGGCCCACCAGTATCCAGCAAATGATCTGCGCATATCTGCGCGCTCTGCGTGCCATGTGTCAGCGCCTTGTCCAAGGTATTGCTTTTGAGTAGCTGCAGCTGTACACCCAAGTCGCACTTTGCCACGACGTGCGTCCTCTGTGACAGCATTTGTGGCGCAGGAAGACATGCTCTGCACAGAACACGTGCGCATGGTCTCAGCTTCGCTTCAGCTCAGACCGCCAGATAACGCCCGAACTGGTCAGAGAAAAAACAGCGCGCGCTTGGTGCTGGGCGCCTTTCTTTTCTGAATCGTTGAATGTGCCAGTGAAGCAGAGTCCTGCACACAAGACGGTTCAGACCATTCTGAAAGTTTCATCCAACAGCCCAAGAGGGTGGACTCTGACTGAGTCATTCGTCTAGGCTCTGATAAGCCCCTTGCTGTGACAGAAGATGTTTTTGCTTGTTGGACTGGCCAGGAGGAGGCTGGTCCCGATGGTTTCAAGTACCTTCTCTCCATGAAGCTCTGGTCGCTGACAGAGAATAAGGTTGAGGAAGCCTGAGGTCATCGGAACATGCAGGTAAAACAGCACAAAGCAGCGAGGAGTTACAGCGACTTCACAACCAAAAGCAAGCTGCTCTCGATGAGCTTCGAGGTCAGCTTCGCTCGATTGATTTTTTTACCCTTTCACCGGTTCTGGACAACAGGGACCAGCATCGAAGACCTTTGGGAGACGGACTTGCAGCGTCCAGGGCTAAGTACCAAATCGGCTCAGGATGCAGAGATGAGAAAAGTGTGAGCATGCGTGAGCATGCGTGAGCTTTGGCATATTTGGCGAGGCTTGGAAAAGTCACTGGACGAGTGCGACGCGCAGGACCGAAAGGAAGCTGAGGCAGACCGACAGGATTTGACAGCAGATTGCCTAGCTGCAGCTCATGCAACTGCAAAGCAGCTGTCACACTTTTGGCCACAGTGCCAGGCAGCCGAGAGGCTTGCCGCGAAACACATGTCCGAGGAGAGCTTTCTGGTTAACAAGTCTGCAACTCAGAGCATGGACCCCTTTCCGCCTTGAACAGACTTTCAGTCTGCAAGCTGCAGGCAGTGTGTGCTGGTACTCAGCCGCAATTTCACGGCTAAGCGAGTGCGAACGAGTGAGTGGAAGGCTCCACACGTAGCTTGATGAGATGCGGGCAGTGGTTAACGAATTGTACTTGTAGCACGTCGTCTCTGCCAGGCACGCCGTCGTGGCGGTGGCTTCAGCAACAAGCGCCTGGTCAGCAAGGCGGGTCCCGACCAGGTTACTGTGCCTGTGCTCAGCGGCTCAACAGCTCAGCAGCTCAGCAGGCCAGGAAGGGCAAGGATGACGACGAGGGAGAGGACTCCAAGATCGGTCAATGCAGTCTGCTGATGTCTGCAGTTGAGGTTCAAACTTCGGGCTAGCTAATCCAAGCAAGCTTCTGGCCGTCAGCAAGCAGACTTTGAGCATCAAGAAGCTGTCTTGGCAAATCCTGTTCAGACTGCATTTGTGCATGTGTGCTGGCTCGCAATGCAGGAAGATGCAGAAGAAGCGGAGGACTGGGGTTGCCAAGTTATTGCTTGTGTTGCGAAGGTGCACATCATATCGACAGGTCTCCGCTTTGTCCAGTCAGCTCTACCATCAGTTTGCGGTACTCGTGACGTCCAGTCGTCTGATGCACTGCCGAGCTTCACCACAAGATACCTGAGTGATACACTAGGACTCTGCAGAGGGAGCCTGGCCCTTGGGAAAGGTACTTTGACAGCGCTGCTACCAGCATTCATCCCGCGTTTGTGAGGCCTTGTCCGGCGTTTTCTGCTGTCTGGCTCATAGAACTTCAGTGCGGCAGACGATTGTTGCAGGGTCAATGCTTCCAAGATGTCTGCAGGTCATGACTTCGATGCCCTACTCGTTTTTTCCGAGCACGGATTTGTGTACATGTTGCAGGAGCATGCTTCTCAAGGCATGTCTGAGACACATCTGCATGTATTGGGAGGCTCTGGATGTCCCGCTGGTGAAAAAATGTGGCATGCCGGGTGCAGAGCTGAAGGACTGGCTGCTTGTGGAATTTGCTCAGCCTGTAGGCAATGACATGAGCAAGAGTCGGTCTCACTGAGCTTTGGCCAGCCAGATTGCAGGACTTCCTGCCGGAACTTCAGGATCATCGCATCACTGCGTTGGTAACGGTCTCACATCGCAGCTTGAGGCAGAAAAAACTTAGTGAAGTGTCTTGAAGCTCAAATACAATTAAGCCAGATCAGGGAGCAAGCGGACGACTTTGTGGTCCTGGTGTCTAAGCAAGGCTTTACCAAGAAGGCAAGGAGCTTATTCTCACCCTAGTGGCCTCTCCGCAACCTGACAGGTCTCCTTGGACAGGTTCCGCAGTCTACGCCCTGGAAGAGGTCTGCAAGCGATGAAGCTTGCGCGGAGCCCAGAAGCGGGGAGTCAGCATTAGCCACAAGTCTCCATGCCCGACTTTGGTTTTGGGTCACCCTTGTTCTTGTTATGGAGGCCACATTTTTGTTAAAAATGCTCGATGGGTCCGGCTTTTGCCAGCGGCATCTATCTAAAGCAAAGGCTGCTCAGCAGGTTGCGAACCACGGATCAAAGCTTGACTGGTAAATAAAGGGAGTGTGATCTGGGAGTCATGTTGCGTTGAGCATCAGCCCAGAAGTCAACCTGGAATGACTATTGGTATTATGGTGGTTGTGCGTGTCATTGGCATGTTTGGTATTGCTCGTATTTCTGTACTGTTAGTAGCACAATTCGTCTTGCTATTCTTTCAATCATTAATATTGATGCTACTGCTCTTTTTATTATTACGTTGCCAGTTTACTGCTGCTGCTGACGTTACTTCCTTTGCTACAACAACAACAACAACTACTACTACTACTACTACTACTACTACTAGCACTAGCACTAGCACTACCACTACTACCACTGCTACCACTACTACCACCACTACTACTATTACTATTATTATTATTATTACTACCACTACTACTACTACTACTACTACTACACCAGTACAAGTACACTGTACACTAGTACTAATCAGTACTACTTTTTTGCTTATTCGTTTCACCAGTAGTTCCATCATGATCATGACGAGGGTGATTTTTGTAATTGTCATCATTATGACCAGTGTTATTATTAGTAATTACCTCACTTCGGCCATTTTGCTTTGGTTTTTTCTTGGCACCCGTATCAGCATTCCTAGCGCGACTATGAGTCCTGGTGTAAGTTTGAGGTCTTAGTGTTGGAGATATGAGTACTATCTTCATTAGCACAGTGAAATTTGAGTGTGATTCTTTTCGTTCACTCTGACTATTCCTGTCTATGTTGCTCTCGCAAAGAGCGTCCTTGCATTTGTGCTTGAAATCTTGCTCTTGTGTGGAGCGTCCTCACGTGTTGGCGAAACATCGAAGGCCATGGCACAAGCGAGCTGATTGGGTGCACCCTCGCGTTTTGTGCAACCGGATCTCAGAACATGATCTGCGGGTGCCTGGTGGTGGCCCCTTGAGTTGATGTTTTCCTACATTCGTGAGTGGGTTGCCAGAGGAGCACAGTTGAGCACTGCGCTTCAGAGCGAAGAGCCAAGGGTGCAGATTCCCAACCTCGGACCTCCTAGTAGAGAAATTGAGCTTGTGCCGAAAACGATACCAATTCTACCAGCAGAGCCTGGGTATTGCCGCCTTTCGACGCAACAAACATCATTGGAGATTCGCGCATGAAGTCGGGGTCCAGATGGTTCGAGATTCCTCGGGCTTGCACCCTTGACACAAAAGCTGGCTCCTTGCAGCTTGCGAGAGTTCTTGTTTACCAATAAGGCCATACACAACTCTTGGGAGCACCAGGTCCTGATATTCTAGGGCCTGCACCGCGGGCCGGCCTAGCCTCCCCTCTCCCAAAATCCTTTCCCGAAACCCTGGTTGTGTTCGAGATCATGAGAAGACTCTGTAAAAGTGATGTTCTTGCTACCTTTGATGGTTTTGGCAGGGTTTTAAGGTTTTGTTGTCTCTGATATAACCCAAAATGGAACCCATAATTGTGCTGATGATGCTCGACTCCACCTCTGCGTGCGCCCGTACGTGAGCATCATCAACGACCCCATTTTGGGTACAACGCCTCCAAATAATGATCTGAAGCACTTGAAACATGTTTCTTTTGCATAAGCTGACCATTTTCTGGTTCACCCTTTCCACATTTTGCGGCGCAGAAGCAGCATTTTGATATACTTGATTTATTTAATAGGTTAAAGTTGTGTACAATGGTAGCATAGGAGCGTTCAAAGTACTGGAAAAAATGCCAAAGGCTTCTAAAACTCATGCAAAATGCGTAGTTTGTAATAATGGTAATGCAGGCGGGTCCACTCGCATGCTCTTATGCAGCGCGGGTGCTGCCAACAACAGTTTTCGAGCGCTTTGCCCGGGTTTACGGACCCCAGCAACCCCGAGAAGCCAGCATTATGAGCATCATGGGGCCTGTCTGGGCCCCCATTTCTTTCCTGATACAACGCATACGAGGATACAGCACCCGTTGAAAACCCCAAGTGTGTTGAGGCGTCAAAAAACGAAGGCGCACTTGTGCTGATGATGCTGGCTCAAACAAATGCGTCCAAAATACGTTTTAATTTTGTAGACAAGCGCAGACACAGTCGGATGCGCGGCGTGCTAGGGCGCTGACGATGAGCTACAATGGGCACACAAGGCTCAGAGTGAAATCGCGTACTGAGAGAACAGCTGGTGGATGTTGTCGCATCTGCAGCTGTGCTTGTGCAGGCAACTGCAACCTCAGCACTCGTGGTCGTGACGGGAGAAGGTTACATTCTTCGAGTTTCCCTCGGGCAGGACTTAGTTAGACCTCATTAAATGTTGTGGTTGCAGTGGACCTTGGCAAGTTCTGCAGGACTGGGCATTGAGCAGTGCCAAAGGGCTGCAGCCTCGAAGGGTTTCCTGCACACACTTCGGCCACCACATGTCCTGCTTTGCTCGAAGGCCTCAAGGGAATGCGTTGCTGGCCTGGGCACAAGAGCCTGACAAACGTAGAAGGTCTGTAGTTCACAGCTAAGATCAACGCAAAGGTGTATGGCCCGCCTATAGTATCTCGGGGTTTGGGCGCCTAATGCTGTCATCCCGGGCATGTGCCTCGCCGGTTCAGCACTCGCCATGGCTGGCATTGGCTCACCCACCACGTCAACAGGGCAGGCGCGGTGTTGCCACAAGACAAATCATTCCTGAAAGCATGCCTTACCAGTAGGCCAGTATACCCATTTCAGCCATGATTCAACGGGCGGTCGAAGGTTGCGGTGGCAGTGGCGGCTTTCGTCGTTGCTGGCTCCTACAGTCAGGCGGGGTTCAAGAAGTTTCTTGAGGGCGGGTGTGTTGGCAGAGCCGTGACCAGCAGTTGCTTCAAAGGTGTGGCAAAATCGGTGTTTGCGCAATCGCTGGTGATGCGGCAAATCGTGCTCGACGCCTTCAGGCTGGTGCATGCTGGTGCAGGTGTAACCGTAGTGCTTTGGAGAGTGGTATCCTCTCCAGGGCACTGGCTTGGCTCGCGAGCTTCAGCGCCGGAGGGATGCGGCCTCCAGCGTGCACTTTGAAGAGTGCGGCACGTCACACTTTCCTGGCCTTGAAAGCAGTGTAGCTCCAGATGGTGAATCATCCCAGGTCTCGCAGTTGCAGGGTTCTGATGAACCGGATCTCATGGCTGCAGCGTTGGATGACCTGGGCGTCGCGCTGTCCCATGCAGCAAAACCAAGTAGTGAAGCCTAAGACAGCGATGGAGTTCTGTAGCATTGGCCCTGATCTAGGGTGGGTCATGTAAGGTTGGCCAATGGTGAGAAGGCCCCAGCAGAAGAGGTGCAAGCCTCTGGCTTCATCACAATTTTCCAGCTTGGGCACTAGGAGCCGTTTGTTGGTGGATCAGATTCTGGGAGGCCTTTCGGCAAGCCGTCGATCTCTGCCAGCGCAATGCGCTAGAAGCAGACTCGCTTTGGGCAGCAGCTGGGAAAGATTTCTGATGAACTAGAAGGTTCTGTACGCGAGCAAGTCGGCGTTGTCAACTCCATATTTCATAAGTGTTGATTTCTATGTCTACGTCTAGAGCCACTGCTCTAGAAATATGCGTGTGTGCACAATTCAGAAATCTATTCTGGATCCATGAAGTCTTCATGCAGCGAGGGATCAAGTGCATTATCCAGATTGACACCAATTAAAGATAGTCTGACTGCACCTGAAGGCCAACAACTTGGCAGTGGCTCTCAAGTCGCAGGGTCCAGACAGATACAGCCCCTGAGCTGCACTCTTCAAATGCTGCATAGCCTGGGCCACAATCAGGATCAGCTTCGTGCCCCTAGAACACCCATGTGAGGAGAGGCCCAGAAGCTGTACCAGGAGACCTTGGAGGCATGATGTTGACATGAGGGTCTTGAACGTCTGATGACCTGCACACGTTTGGACTCGAGTGCGAAACCCAACCTGTCCAAACGGCAAACCACAGAAGAAAATTCATCAATGCTTGGCTTCACAGCAGGGCAGTTGTGTCAGGCGAGACTTCGCAGGGATCCAGGTGAGAAGGACCCCAGCAGCTGAGCTGCAATGCGATTCATCCTGCGACCAAGTGCAATGCCCGGATTGCACCAGGTTCGGTTTCAAGCTAGGCACTAGAATCACTAGTCACTAGAAAGCGCAGCAGCGAAGATCACCCCACAGGACTGCGACTAGCAGCATGGCTGCTCAACGACTCACGATTTTTGCCAGGGTGCTTGCTCGTGTGCAAGAGTTGTTCAGCTGTCGCTGGAAGGCACGTTTACCAGCATGAACAACCTGGCCGTCCTTCTGAGAGTGCAAGGCCCGCTGCCCTCAAAGCGCACTAGCAGCAGCAGGCAAACTAGTCGTCCCCAAATTTGGCGCATTCGCGAGGACAGCTGGCAGCAGCTGAGCGCCTGTACCGTCGCGCCCTTGATCTTCGGCGCACTGTCCTGGGCACTTTGGCACGATGTAACAATTATGGGGTGACGGTGGCCCATCTGCCCAACTCTGGAACATAACATGTCGGGAGTGGAGATCACCAAGGCAACCTGCATCCAGACACACTGACGAGCCGTGGCAGCAAGGTGGCATTGTCCGAATCGCTGGCAAAATAGAGTAGCCTGTAGTTCACCGCAAATTTGTGTCACAAGGGCACAGCAGAAGGCCTCCCCTCATGAGGCACAGCGAGCACGCTTCTGGCTTTGTTTCTAGTTGTACTCGCGTTGCAATTGGCGAACGCAGTGGAATCATGCCAGCAGGGTTTGGGGGTACGCCCGAATCGCGTCCAGTGTGCGCCCTTGCTGATGGTCCAGTGTGCGCCCCTCCTGCTATACTACCACCACCACCGCCACCGCCACCGCCACCACCACCACCACCACCACCACCACCACCACCACTGCTACTGCTACTGCTACTGCTACTACTACTACCGCTC